CCGTTGAAAACTGCTTGTCAAATATAACGTGTACAAGAATGCCAACATCTTTGGATGTTTCCTCTAGTGTGTGCATGTGTGTGGCGTGTATGTGTGCCTGTGTGTGAGTTTCTGCTTCATTTTTATTCTAGTAGTTGGCTATATGGCTAGAAATGAATATTTCTCTACTGCTCTGTCCGTCTGTTTGCCTGCATGTCAACTATTTGGAAATATGTGTATATTTTCAACTAAATACATTTACAGAGATTTGAGCTTCCCAGCCTAATACAATCAGCTTGATTTGCATGTCCGCCATCGCCTGACTCTAGAAGTATGTTTCCGAAAACGACATGTTATATAATGTGAAGACAATTTCTGTTAAAATTAAAACGCCCAGCGACAGAAGGAAATTATTGCATAAATAAATGCTTAGTTTTTCCAGTATGAATCAACCTCGACAAATTCAAATAGTTTTATGCTGCGTCCCGGGCTTATATAAGCGTACAGCAGCCAGAGCAGCAGGCAACGGTAAAGGCAGCGACTGTGCCGCACAAAAGCAAAACCACACACACAGACACACACAACCGCACGAAAAAAAAGAGAAAATATATATACATATTTATTCGCGTGTTTCTCTGTCTGTGTGTCTGTGTGCGTACAGCGCCAATGCTGCAAATAAAACAAAAGTGAAAGTTAACAAATACATACACATACGCACACCCATTTCATACATCGACTGCTGCTGCCATGACTGCCATTGCTAATAAATCCAAACAATTTCTATATAATTTTGTTCAACAAAAATATATACATATATATACGTATGTATGTATATAACAAAAAGTACTCCGCTTTTGTTATACACACGCACAGCAGCTGAAAGCAAAAATTTTACATGCTCTAAACACAGACCGAAGAAGAAAAAATGAAATGCTGGCTGGCAATACAAAAAGGATTTCGCATAGCTACAGAATTTGACGCCATCGCTTATGTTAAACGCACACACACACGCACACACACACTCATACGCATACTCATATACGTATGTATGTATATTTATGCATGGACAGCGTCGTCGTGCTGTTTGAGGCTGCCATAACATCTACTTACGACTTACCACTAACACTAATACAACTACAACTACAAATACAACGACTACTTCATGCTGCTACAAAAGGCATTGCCGAGTGCTTGCCTGGCTGCCCTAAGTAACTACTCACACACACACACACACACACTCACACATAGAGACACACGCACACTCACCCAACATTTACACCCACACATAAAACAGCAATAAGCGCCTCTTGTGGGATCCGCTGTTTTGTGTTTGCTGCCTCAACAACAGCAACAACACCAGCAGAGGCAGCAGCAGCAGCAGCAACAATAACGGGAGCGCTCACGAGTAACGGTAGCCGTCGTTGTAGTCGTCGTAGTCGTCGTCGTCGTCGTCACCATCGCCGTTTTCTTCGTTTGGCGGCGGCTACGAATTATATAAATTTCTTGCCCTGTCTCTTTGGTTATGCGTGTACGTGTGCGTGTATGGGTGTGTGTTTTTGTGAGCGGGCTTTTGTTAGATATACGGGATTTCCACAGTTTCGTTGCTCGACGTTTTTTCGGCATTCTTCTTCTTCTTTTGTGCTTGCAGGAACCAAAACTGCTCCTTTCGTTTTTCGCGTTCGGCTTGCTCATGCCATATGCTCATTCATCTTCTTCCACTCCCATTTCCACTCCCGCTCCTGCTCCTGCTCCGCTACTCTCGAGCACTGCGCTTAACCAACCGTGACCATCTAATGTGGTCAGCAAGTGGCCCCCAAGTTTTCTGAAATATATGCAAGAAGTTAGCACAACTTTCAGGACAATGGTTGCAGGCATCTTCATGCATAAATCATAGAAATTGCGTTCAAAAAATCAAAGCAACTCAGAGTTTTCATTCCATTTCAAAATTTGCCATTCTGAGTGCTGAGCATCGAGCTTGTTAGCCCCAAGCGCGCAGCTGAGCATGGAGCGTGAGCGCAGGCGGCATTACCACAGAGAGAGAGAAAGATGTAGAAAGCGAACGACAGAGAGAGAGAGAGATTGTAAAAATTGTGTTGAAAAATTATTTAAAAAAAAAATACAAGTTGAAATATAAAAATAATGAAGAAGTTTGGGAAACCTTCAAAGTTGTGCATAATACTAATAACATTAATACTTATCACAATCGATTATACACATTTTGCAATTCATTTGTTTGAAAATTCCCCATTTTTTTTCATCGAAAATCTTGCTCTAATTATAGGAAACTGCGCTCTGTGCCTCCCAAAAGTATGCTACGAAAATATCTAAAGAAACACAAATTTTCAAGGTTAATGTGCATGAATGAAAGTGGAGCAATTGCAAAAATACAACAACAACAACAACCGCAACTCCAATAATAATAACAAATTATAACTGCTACCGAAGCAACAACAACAGCCATAACAACAACAACAGCACTAAAATCACAGCAACATCTAAAATTCAGTCACTTATAATGTAGCACAATTGCAAAAATTGAATGAAAATTAAATGCCATTAAAATTTTGAGTGTTTAATCAATATGTGAAAGCCCAAGCGGAAATCAACAACAACAACAACAAAAATATAAAATAATAATCGTTTAAGCCTTCGAGTTGCCTTCTTGCCCATGTCCAGTTTATCTTAAGTGGTCATAGAGCTAAAAATCAAAGCGACATAAAGAAAAGTGCGTTCAATTTTTTAATCGTTAAATCGTTGTTAATTCATGTATTCGTGTCCCTCCATCCGTTGCGTTTTGATTGCCCACCGCCCGTGGCCCGCATTATATATAAGCATTATATGAACAGTGTACGTTGTTGCCCGCCGCACACGCTCATATTCAAGCCCACACACACACACATATATATATATATATATATACACCAGCAACTCGTGTCGCGCTGTTTTCACCAATCGACATCGGAGTCGCCACCGTGGATTGTCTCGTCAATAAAATGCGCACCGTTCTAATGGCCCAAAGTGCAGTTAACTAGCTCCCAACTGAGCTGCCATTCGATCGTGTGTTTATTATAGATATATATATACCTATACCTATCAGTTTCGCGTAGCTAAGCTATAGCTCTCATGCATCCGTTAACATAGAAACGCGCGCGATTTCTTCGTCTGTGAACTGACCATCAAACTTTTAACTCGCACAGCCTAGTACTATGAGCTGCAACAGCCTCGATTGGAACTAAACGAATACAGCACGAGGTAAATCTAGCAATGAACAGTTATTAGTTAAGGTAATTTACATAAGTTATTCACAGTAATGTTATTTGTATTTAATTCAAAATCATTTTAAACAGAATTCGAGGATTAATAGGGAAGATTATAAAAAATACAGAACTATAAATGTCCAACAACTAAACAAATTCTCCTAACGTGTCGAAATTTCTTTTACGAATTGCAAAATTATGACAATAATATTAATTATATCGCTCGTCAATTAAAAACTCCTTATTTCGTATCTAGTTAAAACTTGTCAATTGCAATCAATGAAATACTCCGTTTCAAGTATTTTAAGAGACTTGAAACGTTTCTCATCATGAAAAGAAAGGTATCCGAATGTGCATTCAAATCCTACCCAAATATCGCTGAGCATTATCAGCACTTATTCATGCCCTGTCGTGATTAGCAGCGGCTTTTCCTGAAATGCACAACTGAATCCTATGTTTCAACCAGTAATGATTGTTGCCATTGGGTTGCAGCGGGACCATATTTTCTTACTTTTGGGCCGTTACTAAGCAATTCAATTATAGAAGCATAACCTCACAAACATTTATTTATTTTTTTAAATCTGTAAAATGGTCTGGAGCTTACAGTTGAATCCAAAACTGATGGTTAAAGAAGACTTTTAACCTTTGTAGTCGTTTTTTCTTTAAATACATATAAGCTTAAATAAAATTCATTGTTGATTGTTTTATGTTAAGTCTCTAACATTATGCCTTTGTTAGAAGTGCCAGCAGTTTTTTAGGTATTTTTATACTACATAAATATATTGTAGCAGGGCCTAACAGATATGGCAATATATATGTATTTATTGAAAACAATTTATAGTCTTTTGTTTATTAGTTCTTCCAACAATATTTGCACAAAGGAAAAAATACAAAAATCATTGAATGTAGTATAGCTTTTATTTGTTCAACGAAGGCATTGTTCTAGTGGCAAAAGTAAATGTTAATTGTGAATGTTGGGCAACATAAAGATTTCAGCATAAATAATTTAAAAAAATAAAATAATTTGCCTTTGTATTTGAAAACATTTGAGGTAGCTTTTATTTGCTCACATTTATTTCATATGTATTTCGTGTGCATTTGATATTTTTTATTGCAATTACGTATGCACTATTTATAAAAAAAAAAACATTTTTATTATACAAGTAATTGATATTTGTGATTGTGATTAAAGCATACTTTGCTTAACTATTTGTATGTTAAAGGTATTTATGAAGTAAATGCTTGTGAAATCAATTTTTCTCTGTGCGCATATACTATATATAAGCTATAATATAATATCTAATAAGAGCTTAAAATGTTATAAAATGAATAACCAAAAATATATTTCTTTCTAGCTTAATCGCAGTTGACGTTGTCGTTGTCATTGCCATCGCCACGTCGAGTGCCATGTCCAAACGCAATATTAATAGTCGAATGCAACTGGGCCGCCACTGAGCTTCACTGAGGGCCATTCATGCCGCAAGCCAGAGTTGCAACGTTAAAGGCAAAGGTGAAGGTGCTGGTGCAGGCGAAGGCAGAGGCAGCGGCGAGTGCAGCAGTGGCTCGGGAACAGGAGCAGGAGAACGCGCAGGAAGCAGAAGCGGAGTCAGAGTCGCAGCTACAGCGCAGCAGGATAGAACCAAACCAAACACATTACTAATGATGATGGGGCCATGAGCCCATCATTACTCGCATTGAATTGGAGTCGCAAGCGCGTCTCAAGCGGGCCTGCACCATGCTAGCACCGCCGAACCCGAGGTCAATATGCGGCCAGGACCCGGGCTGGTCGTGATGGCGCTTGCGTTTATTTCGGGGGCTCGGCGTGGCAGCACCAGCAGCAGCAGTAGTAGCAGCAGTAGCAGCACCAGTGGCAGCTCAGCAGCAACGTTACCGTCCACCTACGACTCGACGACTGAGTCAGCGGAAACAAACCTTAAATCTGGCAGTGGATCCTTTCTGCTGCCAACATTTCTGCTCGGCGGCGGTAGCACCTTTGACGGCGGCGGCGGCGTGCGCGCCCTTCGCCCACCGCAACAACAAGACCAGCAACAGGATTCAGATCAAGGCCAGGCTGCGTTTGGTTTTGACTCGCATCGCCGGCCCGCGCACGCCGCTCCGCTACATTTGCAGTTGCCCTCCCATCTGCGGTTGCATTACGACGATCCACGCGCGCGTACCGAATTGCGACGTGTGCGCAGCCTGGAGTCGGGCCAGAGCGACGATAGCGCCAGCGCTAGCGATATAGTGGGACGCGCCGGTGGTACAGAGGTGGCAGCAACAGGGAAAGGAGCAGCAGTTTCCGCAGCCCAAGGTCCCGAGTCCAGCGAAGCCACGCTGCTCGAGGAGGGCACCACCGACGAGGAGGACGACAGCGAAGCGGCATCATCTGGCGGCCTTCCTGTACAGTTTCCCTCGCAGGCTAACGACGAGTCATTGCGCGGCTTTGACGAGGACGCCGACATTTTTGCCTTAGTGGCCGAGGGCGACTTGCTGTCGGAGGAGTCCTTTGATCACCTGGTCAAGTTAAGCGAGTACGCGACCAACGAAGAGGACGACAAGATTGCTGACACAAACGAAGACGCTGACTACAGCAGCAGTAGCAGCAGTAGTGGACTCGCTGCTAGACTGACACTGGGTGCTGCATCAGAGAACGAATTGCTGCCTTTGGAGAGCTATAAAGAAGTAGAGACGGACACTGAGACGGACCCTGAGACGGACCCACAGACGAAGCAGCCTCAGCGCGTCGAAAGTCAGCCAAACAACGATAGGGACGAACGTGAGCATCAGGAGCCGCAGCTGCTCCGAGGTGGCAACAGCAACAGCAACATCGGCAGTAACAACAACAAGCGTGAAGCCAACGAGCTCCCACTACCTAAGCAAAGCGTTGGCGTTTATGCCGCGCGACTAGTTGGTCAGCAGAACGGCGGTATTGCTGCTCCCGACCAGAGCGCTGCTGTTGTCGATAAGATCAGTTCTGAGTCAGCAACTGTTAAAAGGCTCGGCGCTTTGGAACTTAAGAAGTCCATACTAGGCACTACATCCCCACTAACACGCCTTAATCCTTGGATATCAGCTTGTGATCTGGCACAGCCGGGCACAGGCACCGACTTGCAGGTGAGTCTAAGTTTCCAAACACATCTGAATTTCAATTCAAATAGTTTTTATGATTATAAATCAAATTAGCTGGTAATGAAAACTTGATTTATTTTACCATCCTTTATTTAATTTCATCAACTAACCAGTATGGACACTTTTTCAAACAATGGCTAAAGCTTGACAATTGAATATTTTAAAAACCCACACAAAACAATCGTTAACGACTCTTAATTACAAATCATAAAATGGTGTTAGCCTAATTGCGGTTGCTCTGTTTAATTAAGAATCTACGCAATTGTCAATAACAAGAGAAATACTTACAAGTATATTTGATAGATTTTGTGGGCTCCAACTGCCGCAGACACTTTACTCAATTGCAAAATTAAATAATATCCCTCATGACCTTGCACGTGGCTGTGGCTGTGCCTGAGACTGCATAGTTGGCCCTCACGCCCAATGCAGAGACAAAGACTTAAAACCACAACAATGTCAAGCTTACCCGCCAACTAGTGCCTGCTCCTCGTTGCCGGACCATTCCATATTTCAAATATGTACATAATTATTTACTCAATGCGAATACTGAGCACGGGCTTCCATCTGCGTAGCTCATCATTCTCCATGCTTCTGCTTGGTGCTGTTGTTGCTGCGGCTTCTTTATTCGATGCTCGCTGGCAGGCAAGACGCAAAGAGTATGGACAGTCGCTGCAAAAGCGTGGGTCGCAATGGAAATGCCAAACACTTTGTTATTACGTTTTCATTTGTTCAGCGTTTTCTTGCTTGTCTCGTCTTTTCTCAGCACTTATATTTATTGTGCTGTCCACAACAATGCACAGCTCTTGAGCACATACAAATTTGTTTCAATAGCTGCTTATTGCGCCCACTGCCACAGCGCTTCTGGGCATACTTCATAGAAAGTAGGAGAAAAGGATATTGCTATTGATTTAGAATGGGGCGGACCCAACTATCGCTATTCAATAAAATGTGAGTGGTAGATGAACTGTGGAACTGCATTCTTACCAATTATTTACAGTTTTTCTAATCATTTGATTTCGCGGGGGCATTCGCGAGATATCATGTGTTCGATGTTGCCAGCCAAATCCTTGCCACTGCTCTTGAGTAGAAGATGCAGAGTGGTTTCAAACTATACTCCTGGTTGCCATACACTATAGTTGTTCGTAATAAGAAATTGTTCAGCGTGGCTCGATTTTTGGTGCCATTGATAGTGGAACAGGCATAAAATGTTCCCAACAGTGCACTTATCTGATTGATCGACATTGGATTATCCTCGCATCAAAAGTGGATCGATTTCCTACCATTCAAGCACTTATTGGTTTAAATCACAATGCAAACGATAATTCTGCGGCCTTTATTCATACACCAATTCAGTTTCATTGAGCTGTAAGGACAAAAATTAATATCATTTAACCGTTTTTGTGAAGGGTAAAATAAAGCCGCCCAAGTAGATCCTTATTTCCATATACTATAAGTGCACATGTACATTTTTAATTGCATTTCTTATGGCTACCACGTCAAGTTGTGAGAACTTTGGCTGCACAATTATCCGTTTTGGCAAGTAATTATAGCCTACCTTTTGGGGCAATCAATTGATTACGATTTATTCATGAATTCATGTAATCTGCTTAATTTATTATCGTTTCATTTCGCTATCTGTTACCAGTGAGCAGTCGGACAATTAAATTGTTGCAATTGCATTGAGGTTAATCAATTTATTGGGCATTGTAATACTGAATGCGAGGTCTCATAAGTGGAACGTTTTACTGTGCATTTGAAGTAAATGAAAGTTATGTGTGAAACTTTATTTAGTTTTCAAAACTGTTTAGGTCTTCATCGACTATATTAATTGTGCTAGAATTATAATTTTTGGCAGGTTTTTTTATGCTACAAATAACTTTCAAACTAACTGCTATACTACTCTTTCGCCTGAACGCATCGGACAATAAAGCTATGATATTTTTTATAGCTGTTACATTTCAATCACAATAAATGTTATCGTTTTATCAGATAGGGGGGGAAAACAATCAAATATGTGGGACGGCATACTCGTATGCCCGTTGGCATGCTTGTGACATGATGCAAAAAAAGGAATTGAGAGAAAAAAAGAATTAATTTATGTCAGACGTAACGAGCGTCAGTCGCATTTGCATTTGCATTTTCATTCGAATTCAAATGAAATGCAATTGCAATTCAACTGTTGTTGCTTAAGCGCTGCAATAAAGTCCAACAGCGAGGCACGGTGGCATTAAATTGGCCAACAGCTACATATTTCCAGAGTCCTGTTGGAGGTTTATAGCGAGGATAGACTTTGGCTGTCAACTGACTTGTCCTGGGGCTTTGGGTGCGCTTTGCCAGCAAGCAATGCGACTGTGCCGCTTTCTGCTCTACCCTAATTTCTATGTACTTTTATGATTTGTGCGCCTTCACAATTTTAAAGATCCTTTCTTTTTTCCTTTCCCTCTTTCTTCTTTCATTTTTTGCTTTTTAAAATTTTTTTGTTCAATTTCAAAGTATATTCTGCCACTTAATCGTGAGCGGCAATGGTGCTTTCTGTGCCGTTGAATGTATGTGAGTATGTTTGTTGAAAATGCAAAGTGTTTGTGTGACAATTGTGGCAACGTGCGGCACTCGAACTTGCCGGCTGAACGATGTTGGATGTTGGCGACGTGAACGGCGAGGTCTACAAAGCCACAGCCACCGCCATCGTCCTTGTTATTCATTCTTCCTGTTCCGTTCGGTCTCGTCTCATCTCATCTCAGCTCAGCTCGTTTGCCTCTCGACCGTTGCTGGCATCTGTGCAGCGTGTTACAAATCAACGAAAATGCCTTGGTAATTGTAGCAGTGCGCCATTTGAAAAACACTTTTCAATTCGTCGTCATCGCTGTCGTCGTTGTCGCCGCTCCTTTTACCTTTTGTGCATTAGCATTTTGGCTTTGGCTTTGCCTCTTTTTTGCACTTGAAATGCCAGGCCGTTGCTTTTGAAATGCTGCCAAAATGCGACCGCACCTACATCATCACCACATACTCCCCCACTTTCCCTATCACCCCTCCCCCCATTCCAGATGTGCAAAGAGGGAGACCACTCAGTAGTCAGTTTTTGCCTTGTGCTATCAACGAATAAAATTCCTATTGGTTTGCCAAGTATAATTCAGATTTTAATATTTATTAACGGCATCGTGCGCTGTTTGCTTATGCAAATCTAATTCAATTTCATCGCATTGCCATTCTACTCTCAATGGCATTTTGATTGCATTTCGGCCATTGTTATTGTTTGTCGTTTGGCACTTTTGTGGCGCCATTGTGACATATTTGTGGTCTGATTATCTTAAGAACATAATTAAAACTTTTTGGCAATTTGTTTAAAATGCCATTATTTCGTGGCAGAATATGTTGAAACGGTAGAGCACATAGATTGGCTCTCAGTTAAAGTTCTCATTGCCACTCTGGCTTTCCTATTTACCGAATGTTTTCAATCCCAATTAGTTGCCATGGCATAGCATGGCAGGTTTTTCTTTTACTTACCTACCTACCTCTTAATTTTATTTTCATTTTATACTATAAGTATTGATTTTTAATCAGCGCAATGATGTTAAGTGCCTCGGCCTGCAACTTGTTCCTCTTGATTCATTGGTACTTAGATGTTTTTGTTCAACTTGATGGATAGCAACGTTAAATCGATATCAGCAGTAGCAGCAGCAGCTATTGGCAATTAAATAATTAAATCAATCAAACAATTAAAGTCAATCAACTCTGTCGGTCACGGGCTCTTTCTCCATGATGTTAGTGAAAGCCAAACAAGCCAAACATGTTGCAAATGTTTAGTTAAAGGGCATAAATATTTATATCAGTACATTCTCCGCCCACAACATACGCACACAAATCTACATACATATATTTACACAGTTTTATGCCAAAAGTGACAGCAAAATATATGCAGGGCCGGCTAACCTGACTGCAGGGCTCCCAAAAACATATGCTGTTGTGTTATGCATGTAAATATTTCGGTTAAAATATCAAATGGAAATAGACGGATTTACTTATTTTTTTAAAATTTTAAATAAAGTCGAAAGTTCCACATATCTGATGGCAAGCGTATGTTTTGTAGTTAGGTGTTACATACAAGTGTCGATTTACAATGTAAGTTTCCATTATTTACTTTCAAAATAATAGGCCATTTTATTATGTACGAGTACATATGTATATCAAAGAGAGAGAGAGCATTTGACTCTTAAATATGCTTTTGGAAAATGCTGGAAAATGTAATATTGATTAATGAGCGTTATTTATCATAAATGAGCAGAAATTCTTAATCAAGTTTTGGAATGTTGAGGAACTGTGTATGTTGATATTAATTAAAATATGCCTCACTCGCGACCCCATCGAGTGTTTCGTTTCTCAATATTGTAAATAGGTCGGTACAGAGATAGTTTGCTTTTTGATTTGCATGTGATGAAACCCGATTTGCAGAGGCATCTAAAATAAAATTAGATGTAACAAAAGATTACAATGTTTTATTAACGACACATAATGAGGTTTATTTAAAAACAAAACATTTTCCTGTAACAAATTTGAGGCTTAACACAAAAACTAGTTTTCTTTCTTGGTCCTGTATATGGTAGCATTATGAAAACTTCTCAAAAGAATTATGAGAGGTGCCACTCCTAATTAAGGGTAACGAATTTGGAAAAAAAAGTATTTACTTCAACATTACAATTTCTTAGATTCGATATTAAAATTGTTTAACAAAGATATTTATGTTAAGCTCTCATTTGCGTATTACCTGCAAGGTGCATCTTTGCAAGGACAGCAAAATTTATAAGGAAAGTTCAGCGAAAGCTGTCCAGCCTTGGCAGCCGATAATGTCAAATAAGAAGCGATTAACGCTGTGCTAGAGATGCAACCTAGTTAGTTGCCTTTTGTGCTAGTGGCAAGGCAGCAAGAAAATGCGGCAATAAGTCCGGCAAATAGAGTCTCAAGCACGCACAGCAGTTCCTGTCAAATAG